AATTCATTTCATAATGCACAGCCCGTAATACTACCAAGTATAATACAGTAGAATGATAAAATCGTAAAGGGAGATTTGTTTTCACTCTCGTTTTGTAGCTACCACCGTCAGGAGTAACAGGCTTGCTAACCTATAGCATACAACCTCGTCAACTATGTCTCGCTATAGACACTACTTCTGTATTATCATCATCAGATTCCAGATCCTTCACTGCAGTTCCCAGAGGGGAGCTCGGCAGACTGCTGTCCCGTACCGCCCAGTAGAAGTCCATTGCGTATGATATCATCCGCAACATCATCATATTGTACACTATTTGCCATCGCTGTAATTGCCCCCATCTGAGGTGTGTTATCACCGTTAAGGCATCCTCTAGGGCGACCTACCCGTCTAGGAATGCGAGCCATGGAGCTATCGCGCTGAAACGGAAGCCATCGAAGTATCGCACAGATACGAGGAATCCCATGTTCACTGCCCACATGACGCCGGGAACCTGAATAAAGGGGCGAGCTTTCCTGAATTCGTTCAGTGATTTGTTGACCCAAAATTCATTCCCAGGCCTCATCATTCGCCTCTAGCTACTACCCATCTAAATTGTACTGAATCCTTCCCTGGCCGCAGCATGCGCTCAACCAAAACCTTATTAGATAGTACTGCTCCCATCAAGAACGCCGCGTAGGCTCGATGAAGGTATACTGCAAAGCAAGTACTCATAACGAGCTGAAACGCAACGTATCCGCGAGGGCCCATGTAATACCGTATACACCTGTGAAAAAAATCGACATTCATTTCAGGGAGCTCGAGAGAGTACCTCGATGCGACGGTATGGAGGGTAGCGAACACTACGACTGATGACAGATTCAATCGGAACGAGTTCCACTGGTGGTCAGACCAATCGGCTAGACGCTCAGTAAAGGGCAGTGAGCCTAGCAGAGCATGACCGTAGATTACTCCATTATCACTACTACCTGTATAAAGGGGCTTCAGTCGGCCCTCAGCCAAGAGCTCATCACCGAGCCTCCTTACGCTATCCATAGCATACAACAACGCGAGGGCGAGGTATGTTATATAAATAGATATTTCGGTTTTAGACCATGCCAAAGGGGGATCCTTTGGACTATGCTTACGTAAAGATGACAT